GAAGGCCCCATCGGCAGAAGCAGCTTACGCAGCGAGGTTGGGAGGAAGGCGAAACCCGTATCTGGTAATTTAGCAGTGCTCTGCGGCACGCTGAACAGCCAAACATCACGTACGGTCCCTACGGACCACCAGCACCTGCTGTGGGTCAGGGCAAAGCACAGAGCTACAGGAGCCTCACGCTCTGCTTCCAGATTATTTGGGAGGATTCTCCTCCCTCTATTACTCTGTCCACCATATCCAACACAATCACTCAGCCCTACTGATAAGAAAGCCACTCATCTGCTTCGAAACTTCCAGTATGAACAACTTCCTTTGAAAGAGCACAGGAATTCTCCCCCAGATGGCACCTCAGTGTCACTTATCCACCAGGGTAACCACGCTTGGCTGGATGCCCTCAAGACATTACTCAGCTTGCTTCAAAAACTGCTAGCGGCAAGAAGTGGGATAAAGTACAGAACCCTGACTGAGACCTTCAGCCTAGAGCAAACAGGAAAAAAGGATGTTAATGACTTCTGTCACTGTGTCACCTGGAGATCGAATCGGTGATCTGTAACTTATGAATAATTCCCGTTTATTATAGTTCACCTGAATAGCCCAGGGTGTCCTCACAGTATTTATTTATTTTTATTATTATTATATGCGGGTGTCAGGAGTTTTGTTTGCCATCTTCAAAGAAACAGAGCAACAGAACTCTGCATTCTCTAACAGCAATGTTTTTAATGCCTTGTTAACTGAATCAATACACACTCTTATTCTTAAACAAACACTAGGGACTCTATTTTCCTCTGCAAAAAGATGAAGCTGCTTTATTTAAAGTATGTTGATAAGAGGTGAAACATTAACCCAATTAACAAAAAAAGCACTATGAGAAAGCTTACCTGGTTCCTAAGATATATTCACACATATAAAGCTAAATTCAGATACACAGACAAGATGTTAACCTACCTCACAAACCCACACACCAGCTCCTCTACCGAAATCGAGACACAGAGTTTAAAAAAAGTCAGAACCTGTCAAAATGCTTTTTGTTCGTCTTTTTCTGCTAATGCTCATCTTCTGATATTCCACAAGCTTTTTGCTGGCCTAATGGCAGAGAGAGAAACAAAATACTAAAGCTTTCCTTTCTCCTGTGAATTTCGTGGTTTGACCTGTCAGACCAATTGTTCTTCAAGACATTTCTCTAATTTCCCTGTAACTCCTCGTTCCCAAGCCAGGCTCTTGGGAAACTGACCTCTTTTGCACCACTTTTTGAGACCAGAGAGAGTTCCTCTGACCAGGGAGACCAACCACACAGCATGCTCAGACTACATGAGCTTTTATTTGCGAGCTTGCTGGCCTGTGGCATCCCCAGCAGCTTACACCTCAATGCAAAAGCTCCCAGCAACACGGGTGCAACGCGTGTGCTTTTGTGTTCCACCAGTTATGAACTCCCATCTTACACACGCAGGCACACACAGGATAAGAGACTTAAGCTTTCTGGAGCCACCTTACAAGATGTTTTCATAAACAAACACATTGGATGCTGCACAAATTATTCAGATCAACTCTTCTTTGTTAGAGACATTCCAATGAGCTCCCAAAGCAGAGATGGTCTTTGCTGTCGGTATTCTGCTCCTAACAAAGGCAGCTTTGTTCCAACAGAAATGGCCTCCTCATGCATTAGAAGCCTATCTTGGTGTTTCTGGAGAGCTTAAACGTGTTCTAAGTCAAAGTTCCCAGATATAAGCTTTAAGCAATTTTGACTAAAGACAGTATTTTTATCAGTTCACGTTCTTTAGCTCACCAAACTTTTGTCTGAACAACCAAAACCACTGATAACTACACTCACACAATCATTACTCAGATTTTATATTTTTAAGTAAAAGAAAGGCTGCTTAAAATACAGCATAACAGGACAATTTTATAACAAAAGGATGGATTTTGCTACCTTGAAAGACCTTGAAAATGGGAAGTGACAGTTTGGAGATACCAAGAAAGAGGCTTCTGGTTTAAAATCACTTTCATTATTTACACAGATGAGGTTGTAGAAAAACAGCACAAAGTTTTGTTACAGTTTAACAGTATTGCATAACTCAGGAAACAAAATATGTTTTCATTTAAGTTTAAAAAGGAGTTATGAATTCTGTTTTCACTCCAAGTTACAAAAAAACAAGTTCTTACACCATTAGACTTTCCAGACAAGAAAGAAAAGATTATAATTTTAGGCTAGTCTGGTATTTTTCCATTCTTTCTTTTTTTTCCTCCCTCCCACTTCCTTTGAAGACTATTAATCATAAGGGTTCTAAGAATTCCCCTAATAATATTGCTCTCCCCACTCTCATGTCTGCTTTAAATATTTCAAGTGAGAAATTTAAAAGTGGATTTAATGATGTGGAAGGCTTATTCAACACAGGGAAAAAACCAAACACACCTCTTCACACAGCTGTATGTAGTATGGTCAGCTGTGTCTTACGCAAACAAACCAAAGGAGAGGCAAAGTCTGCAGGCTAATTAAACCTCTGATTGCCATTAAGCTATCTAAACAAGATGGCAGTTACCCTCTGACACATGACAGTTCTGCGATATCGACATTTGTTCAGCAAAAAACGGGCTCATGATACTTCACAATTCACATTTCATGTAAGCAGAAGCCTTTAAAAAAGTATTATTCCTTGAAAATCAGGACTCGGACAACCCGCACTCCCTGACAACACTGCTGTCGTGCAACTCATTCCCGTGGTGGCTGTGGATTCAGACAATATCCAACTTCTCACAAAAGACCTCAACTGTAAGGAAGAGGGAGAAACAAACAGAAACGGGGATGGAGAAGTTAAGGTATCCTTCCTAAGTCCAAATGTATGTCTACCATATAGCTCCTAAACTAGGCTTGCACTTGACACAAGACATTGGACTCTCACATGTATGCTCCATCAACCAAGAATCTTCTTACTGCACAAACTTCAGCAGACAAAGTCAAAGTGCTGCACAACAGATGTAAAATTCCACAGGCCTTGTGGGCTTCAGAGAAACAGAAGCCAAGGACGGACACTACCATGACTGAGGACGTGAAACTTGGGGAGTTCCACAAAGGTAAATGCAGGTTTAATGCCAGAGAATTCAGAACATCACAATTTCTACCAGAAGGAAAACAAAGGGGACGAAAGAAAAGGGAACAAAAAAAAAAAGCTGAAAAGGCAGGAAAGACTGACTCCAGAAATATTCCGAGTCTGACAGATGCCTTATCCAGCCATTAGCCCCACTTCTGAATTTCTGTGCCACAGGTAAAAAGAGATGCTTTTAAAGCTGCTCAGTGCCACGGATAAGATCAATCAGTATCTGAACTAGGCCATGTGCATCCTTCAGCCATTGTGCTCGATTTCAAACTGGTGTAATAAGTTGGTAATAAGGTGTAAGAAAAGAAGCAGAGACTTTTTTTTTTTAGTTACACAGACTACAATAGTTCACCTGCTGATACTGCTATTAACCAGGCTGGGATAATGAACAAATTGTAACAGGGCAAAGCCTCATTAAACAACTTTTTAAATCAGGTCTGAAGTATTCACAACCTGAAGCACACTGTGAGCACACACACACGTCCTGTACTAAATAATGCTGGCAGTAATTACCAGCAACCATAAAACAGCCTTTTCAGCATTTGTATCACGTCAGATCTGCCAACATTTCCTTTTCATTAGGTGCTATTTGTAGGGTGTCCATTTTTTTGTTACTGACTTTGTACTGAAGAAACTTTTTTAAAAAAAAAAAGCACTGCAGATCATCTTTGTAACAGAAATACGTGTGTCTGGTGAGGTGTGGCACAGCACTGTTCACAAACAGTGCCAGACTTGTGCTGTTTACACAAAAGATGCCACAGTCACACAGCATGCTGCACACCGAGTACTCCGTGGAAAGCAAACAGTGATTCAGCTGATGAAGGAAAACACTGGCAAGAGTCAGTTCTTAAGGGCAAGTAGGAAACTCTTGCTCAATTTTTAACAGTTTAATAAGGGCAGACTGAGCTTAATTTGACAGACTGTAAAGACTATGCCTGCTTTGAGCATCAGCATTTAGCTTAGGAACTGTTTAGACCTGAAGGACACTTATTTCTACTAAAACACCCTATGTTCTCTCCTTCCCTACCAATTTTCAGAGAAGCTAATACCATGCCTATCCCATTAAACATGAGCTCAAACATACTGGTAAGGTGAGCCTGTCAAACTCATGTGCATGTCCATTCTTATTTGTATTTTTCATCTTCAAACTCACGTGACAAGGTTTGGAAGAAATGGTTACCACTGGAAAATGGTCACTTGAGACTCTAATAAGAAACTTCTTTTGTGTTCAAATAGGTATTAAAATAATAACTGGACCTCTCCAGTTCAGCCTACCTGTAAGCTCTCCCTACTAAACCAGTACAGCCAGAAAAGTAAACAACTGTTCAGCTTTAAAAACAGAGAGTATTCTGACTCTGCAAATACTACCATGTAACTCAGATAGTATCAATCGAAGCTCTACTGTTCCAGGAGCTGCCTGTGAGGTATAAGGAAAATATAATCCAAATAAACAAAAACAGAATCTGTGGTTAGCAAAATAAAACCTGATCTGTTTGTATTATGTGAAATGATTCTTAAGCACTGCAGTGCACATATGTTGTGGTGCTCTCAAAAACACAGAATCAAATTCCATTCTAATTTATTTACCACTTATAAAAAACTAGGACTCTGTATATTAACATGTGCCACACATGACAGCATTCTTGAATTATCAGGCCAAGCTTTTGCTGAATTTGCTACCTTGCAGCTGTTCCTTCATTTTCTAGTAACAGCAAGGACATTATTTTGTATACTACACTTCATTACTTGCTTGAAAGGTATTTTGACTACCAGTACTCACCTTCAGGTATAATTTTTTAAAGCGTGTTGAAAATAATTTAAATTCATAATTACTAAATTTTACATTTAAATCTGTAATTTTTAAAATGTGCAATTTTTCAAAGCTTAGAAATGCATTGCTACACTTACTTTTTGCTTGCTTCGTAAACATCTGCGATATTGGAGAAAAGGTGATGGCTCTCCGTTTTGGTCATGGTGAGGCTCAGCTCCCTGGAATTTTTAAACATCCGGATCAGAATCTCCAAGCTCAGCAAATAAGAATGCTCAGAAGATATCACTTCAAATATAGCCTGCGAAGCAGAAGGGGGAAAGAAAAGACTTACTATTGACTAGGCTGTTTGTTTCTTTTTTAAATAATTTTAAAAGAAAGGAAAACGCAGAGGAGGTGAGAAGAAAAGTTACTGGAGGTAAGCTAGAGATTATAACATAAATATTCACTTCCATAAGAGATGCATCATTTACTTAGCAATAAGTGATTTAATACTAGGAAAAAAAAAAAAGACTTTTTATATTCAGACTTTTCAATGCAACTGCAGAGTTTGAAGACAAAACACTTGACACACCATTACTCCCCATTCATACTCCCGAGAGGTGGGTTTTGGTTTTGCCAGTTTCAGTGCTCTGGCTGGAAGCTCCCCATCAGCCATACTACCCTTATCAGCCAGTATTTGCTCTTGCTCTTTTCAAACAGAAGCTGCAAAGTTCTTTACTTGCCAAGGGAACTCTGCTTACCCAAGCACCTGCACAAAAGCAAAACCCTCTGCAAAACTCAGGTTTTAGTCACACACCAGCCAGGACACCTTGGGTACTTTTTGAACACCAGGTAAGCAGCAGGCAGATGAGGAGCAGCCATGTGCAGCAGGGAGAGCAGCTGGAGGCAGCCCTGTGCCCTTCGGGGAGGAGAGCAGGGGCAGACCACCAGCCATCCCTCCCCTCCCACAAACAGCTCCTGCTTTATCTCCCTGCCACTGGAAAAGCAGCCGCTGTAACTTCCACCAGCTGGCTGGCGTACAAAGTAAACTTCGAACGGACTCTCGGACTTCGAAATCCACACGCTTGTTCATTGGAAATTTTCATCTCTCATGAAGAAACCTGTTCAGCTTTTAGACACCTTTTACCTCTCTGGGCTTTACTTGCTGTTAGTCTAACAGAGTTCTTGCATGTATATACACGGAAAAATATTAAATAATTTTCATTAAACCTTTTGTCACAAGCTCCACCAAATCCCATTTGTCATCAGTGCTTCCTTCCAGGCACTAACAAAGAATAACGCCATCAGCAGAGATAATACAACTTTGTTCTTAATACAACTAACATAATACTTGTACATATAATTTCCTTAGTTTTTGCAAGTTCTCTAAGCATTCTCAAACCAAAGGAGCAATATACACTTCAAATGCAACACTGCAGACCTGAGTATTCAGACAGGCAAACACCCATGGCTCTACACACAGAAAGAAACAGGGTCTGGCAGTGACAGCCCACAGGAGGAGTTCACTTACACGGTCTGGTGTATGTGCTCTGAGAAACCCTGCCCCTTCCTGGCCAGCTATGAAGGCAAGAGAGACTACAGGCAAGTTGAAGGCAGTCTTCTGGAATATTCTCAACCACCGAGACAAACCATATCGGGGAAAAAACACAAATATTCTGCTGGGGACATTTGTTCAGAAGATTTCATAAAGAGCTCCAGTGCAGCAAATTCTGCTGGTGTTCCTAAGGTAAGCTTTTGAACAAACCCAATTTCTCTGGAGTAGTCTCAGTGTTACCAGACTGTGCTTTCAAAACTACTCTTGCCCTCCTAAAAAGTCTTTGTTCAAAGAACTGAGATTTTAATAATAAAATAACAAGTTCAGGATTTCTTAGAATAACAACAACAAAAAATCTGTTTTAGCTGAAGTCTTAAAGGTTTATGCAGTACAAAGAATTACAAACTCGACAGAAAACCTACAGGGCCATTACACATACAAGGAAAGAAATCCAATGTAGGCATCAGCAGGCTCTCCATCTTACTACCTACCCAAACAGCTGGCGGGGCCTGGTGAGACACAGCAGCAGCTGGGTGGCAGCTGCAACACTCTGCATGCGATGCACAAGAGTGAAAGCTGCTGTGCAAGATGTGCAAAGGTGATGCTCAAAATAATGTCCTATTTCCTGCCCATCACCTCTGTCAGCCTCCAGAATCCAGAGAACATGCACACGTGCCAGCCAACCTCTGGTGGCAAATTAACCACTGCTTGGCTGACAACGGGCAGAAAGGTGCCTACAAAGGGCATCTGGGCCACACGCACTGCAGTTTGTACACACACAGAGTTTCCATTTTGCAAGAAGAGACGATCTATCGACAATTATTTTAGTTCGAATCAGTCCGTCTACATGACACATTTTCTTTAGACAAAACGTGCGCAGAGATGCATCTCACTAACATGTTCTGGAAGATGGGATGCTTATGAATGCATGACATTGCTTTATGCCTTGATTAAATGTCAAACAAATACATTTTTCTGCAGTGACAATACATTACGACGGCAAAAATAATCCAATAGGCTCTAAAAAGTAATTTAAAGAATAGATAAAGAATAATGGATAAAAGGCCATTTAAAAGAAATACAGCAAAAGCATGACTTGGTAGTACAACTACATCTTGAGGATATTTATTTAGGCTCCCCCTGCAAGAATGAGCCTCTAATATTCAAATAAAAAAATCCCTCAGGCTTGAACATTTTCGGTAACATCGAAGGCTTTACATTTAAAAGGCATCTAAAGAACTTGTTCTCTTTGAAGGGATGTAACTATGACTCCAGGAAACAGACTAAAGCTCCTAAAGGATACAGGACTGAACTAAATGCCTTGTGTCTCAAAGCTTCCCAGCAGGAGGAGACAGAAAAGCAGAACACACGGCCTGAACTGCCACACAGCTTCTTCTCCCCGAAAAAAGCAAAAGATAGTCAAAGAAATGCAGCATTATTAAAAAAAAAAAAAAATATTGTCTAAGTCTCATCTGTGCAATACAAGATGTTTCTGTATTTCACGTGTGAACGTAACAGCTGTAGGTCACACAGTTAAACTAATGTTTAAAGCTTGCTATCCCATCTGTGTTCACTTTCACAGAAAACTTGGCTACATTCACTGAGGTGTGTCCTGCGGTGAAATGAAGATCATGAACAAATCACCAAGGCAGGTAACAGTGTTTCCAGTCAAAAAAACATGTGGTTTTTCCCTATTGAAGGACATACCTCAGGAAGGGCAGGTATATAGCTGGCTAGGTCAGGCTACTCTTTTCAACACCTCTCATTCATTTTGATATAGTCCCTGTAAGTAAGGAAGGAAGGAGAGGAAAGCAGATCAAGTGGACACAAGGAATGAAGAGGAAAGTGGGTAAAGAGGACAAAAGGAGCAAAGGGGAAAGAGACAACGAGAGAAAAAGACAACTATATCAGTAATCACTGCTGTTGTCTGCACTGCTGACGGCATGGATGCACCTGCTCCGTTTCAGTGTGAAAGGAAAAAGGTTAGTTACACCAGATTCACAGTGCTCCCACGTTCAGAACTGTTCACAGGATTAGTGACAACCATGGGGCATTGCAAAAAGCTGTTCTTTGTTCCTCACTGCCTTTAAAAACTGATGCACCACCTCCTACCCTCAGCAAACGTACAGTGAATTTTACACCTTCCCTGGCACAGCCCTGCCTACTGCCACTCGTAGCCATCAACCAGGCTCCAGCAGCTGGAGAGAGCGTACCCAGGAACCACTCCTCCAGCAAGACCTGCACGATGTTGGCAGGAGACCCGTGGCAGGGACACCTGCACATCAGCAATAGGTTTTGTTTATTTATTCTCCCTGGGGAGAGAAGACGCTTCACTCCAGGACAGAAAGCAGTGTGATGAACTTGTCTCCTTATCAACAGAGTATTAAATCAGGCATGCAGTGCATCCCAAAACGATCAACGAAAAAGAAAGTGTTACTTTAAAGAGTACCTCCTGTCTTTTTCTTTCTTCCTGGCTGATTGCTTCCGATAATCCATTCTTCTTCACCTAAAAAATAAATAAATTAAAATTTTTAACATCTTTTGCAGAAAAAAGTCATTTTTTTAAAAAAAAATACAGGACTATCGAAACGTGGCACTAAGAATTCAGCTAAACAATCTGTCCACTTCGGAAAGACAGCAATGAACCAACAGAAACAACAAAACCTAAATCAGTAACGTCTGTCGTTTGACTTCTCAAAAGAGTAATCTCACTAAAAACCATCCCAGGACACAGACATGGAGCCGCTGCAGCACAAGCAAGCACAGCCGAATCCCTGTCACCCTGCACAGCCTCCTGGGATTTTACACACACACGCAGAAGCATGGAAGCTGCTTTCTCCTTTTCAGTTCGAGTTCTCAACTGACACACACACACCAGCCTGAAAAATCCTGCTGTTTGTTAAACACACCTAAAGGTGCAGACAAATTACAAATTAAAAAAAAAATCCTTCTGGAGGAGCTCCAGCTTTACCCTAAAAGCACATGACAAAGCCCTGAGTAAAACACTCCTGTATTTCTGTCCTCAACCCAACAATGAGGTCTCTCCACTCCGCACCCTACAGCCCAATCAGCCCAGACCAGTTTGCCTCAGCTCTCCATATAAAACCATCACGAACTCCAGCCACAGCTGCCTTTTCCACAGCCTGAAGCCACGTGCTCGACTGCCGAATTCCACAGCAGAGACTCCCGGAGTTCGTTCCTGGTGCAAATCACATGCATTATGCCATTTGACAGGAGAACATTAGGGATTGGGGAACAAACACCAGAGAGCGAAGCACCAAGGAGGGACTGACCTCACAAATTTCCCAGCAGAGTGCTAAACACAGGACCTCAGATGAGGGGTCACCTGCGTATGGCACACGGGGCCAGGAGGCCACTGCACAGCACTACCCCCGTGAGGGACACCGTTCTCTCCGTGGAGCAGCAGTACATCACGAGACATGAGACCCAACAGATGCATTTCCATTCTCCCATTTCTCTTTTGTTCTTCCTCAGAAGCTGCTAACACACTATCAACAGCTTTCTCTCCTTACTCCACTTGTCCTCTGGAATTTTCAGGGATGTATTACTCCTCATTTTGTTCTTGCATACCAGGCACACAAACCTGGACAGCAGGCTCACGAGTAAAGAGGGCACGACATTAACGAGTGCCTCACCTTGGTCTGCAGGACACCGAAGTACATCTATACACACGTATGTACTCCCAAAAATAACAGGAATAGTCCAGTGTTCAAGCAGTTGTTGTTCTGAACACGAGTTACAGATCCCTGTGTCACCACAAGGATACACTTCCGAACACCACGCAACAACTAACGAGACACCTTTCTATTAAACTACTAAAGCACCTGCCAATCAACAACCTGGAAGCTTTCCAGCACTCACTAGGAAGTACAGTGTCACTTCTTTCTGGATACAGTGGAGGGCTGTTCTAAAAATATGCCCACACAGGAAATACCTATGAACATATCCGAGAGATTTCAGTGCTTCCTGTTAATACAGCGACGGCAAACTGCCCGCGAGGTCAATGCGGCAACTGCTGGATTCACCTTCAAAAAACTGTAGCTGTGTTTTGTGATCCTCGTTTTGTCATATCTGAGTGTGCACATACAAAGTACAAATACAAATTCATCATATAAGCAAACGGCTCAACCTTACAGTCTTCATCAACACTTTTTTTTTTTGAAAGAGGCCCAAATATGAAGACTATTTTTGCCATACTCCATGAAAGAAAATTCAATTCCTGTTTTTGAAGTGTCCAAAATGTTTTAGCTGAAATAGCCTAAAAATCACATTTGTTGTATTTAATATAAGCTAAGAACGTAACCAGAAAGAATGGCAGAGACCCAACACGACAGCAATTAACCTCGTCCTGTGCTCACACTGGACTGCTTTTCTCCAGCAACTCAGTTATGACTGATTCAACCACAGAAACGAGGAGGACAGGATGAAACGGACAGGTTAACTCCGTGGTCACATACAAGAACTTCCTCCAAAATAAGGAGGTGCTGCAGGGGGGGAACTCACCAGAAATATTTCTTTTAGAAATATACTAAGTGGCTGCACCATAAACCACATCAAACGTCAGCCCTTTGATACTGGGAGAGAAACAAGAGCTAATGCAGAGGTTAGCCCTGAAGATCCTTGGCAGTAAAACTGGGTAGTTTTCCATTTGACACCACAGAGAAGAAGCAGCCACAGAAAGGTGACAGGGTGAGCAGCTCCATAAAGCAACTTGCAAAAAACCACAGCTGCTCGTGTTCCACACCAGAGAAAAGGATGATCAGAAACACGGAACACAGGATGAACAAAGCTTACACAGAGTTTCAGGTTAGAGACAGCCGTTCAGAGAACGTGCAAAATCTTGATGTAGAGCTGCATTAAATACACTGAACCCACTGGGCATCAGATGGAGGACTTGATGCCAAAACAGTCATTTAATATGAAATCCTTCAATAACGATGAACATTACCTATGCTAGGGGACGTGTTCCCAGTGCTAAATCTTAACGACATTTATAAGCACCACAGCAGCACTGACAGCAGCAATGAAAAGTGAACACGCATCATATTCTCCAGGCCGGACAGTGCGGACCTGGAAAAACAGATACTGAAGTTCATAGTCCGCTACTCAGATGCAGTGGTCCAACTCTGCACCCGGTTGCGCAGGGAGCTGGTGAGGTCTCCAGCCATGGAGGTATTAAAAACCGGACCGAGCACAGTCTTGGACAACTTGCTCTGCCTGACCCTCCTCGAGCAGAGGATCGGGACAAGATGATCTCAGGAGGTCCCATCCATCCTATCGGATGCTGTGATTCTCTCCACGCACAATGATGCATGTTTTCGTTACCCGTACCAACTGAATGCTGCTGTTTGTTGGAAAGTAAATACATGTAACATAGTGCACAAGTTAATTATCAGTGCCTATCATCTGCTGGAAATTCCTCAAAATATCAAAAGCCACTTTTGGAATATAGTTTGGAAATATTGGTTATTCTCCCTAAATTCAACTTTTAAACTAACAGATGAAGACTGAAAGGAAGAGAGATAGGTAAGCTAGCTCCTCACCTACTCCTCTGCTTAGCTACTGCTCGCTGCCTAATCTGTGACAGGAATCTAAAGAGAAAGAAAGATCAAGAAAGGAGTTTGAAAGGAACCACATTTAAATAGCACCCCATTTAAGAGTCTTTAAACGTCCTCCGAAAAGCTCAGTTACAGTTTCACATGTGTGAGCACACTGCAGGAAGACAGAAATACTCTTTTTTATTATTATTATTATCATCATAAAGGATTTGAAGGTTTCACTACTCCCCTCGAACAGAGCCTGGTCAGAACTGCATCAGCTGTCAAGCCTGCATGGCCAAAGAAACACTGCAGAAAGAGGGGATTTGTTCTGCTGCCTGTCCCCTCCACTTCCTAGCAGTCACCGCCAACAAATACTGTAAACAGATTATTCTCCTTTCCTAACGTATGTCGAAACCAAACACTTTGACGTTTTCCAGCTGACTTCCTGTTCCACGCTCACTTTTTAATACTCATTGACAGCATGTAATTCTCCCACAGACACTGTGAGATTTAGATTCCCACATTTCGTTTTCACAGTGCAGCACCTTTTCCCAGACATTCCTCACTTCCGACCTTGTACATCAAGTAAAGACACTGAAGGAGTTTGCTGTGCCAGGAATTGTAACGAGTAAGTTGGTTTCTGTAACTGTAAGCAAGGCATAGGAACGGTTCTCTTACTGAGATGATCTTTACACTATTTTGGTCTCACAACAAATTAGTGATTTTGAAACTATTATTATTACTGAATAGCATTCCTTCCAAAATACCTCAGCAGTTAAACATTTAACTGCTAGTTTGCCTACAAGGTAGGGAAAAAACACCCCAATTTGACTTCATTACAAACAATTTTTTTGCAACATTAAGCAAATTAACTACATTTAAAGTACATGACTTGTTGAAAGAAAATTTAAAGCAATTCTTTTCAAAACCACATTGTCTTTGCCTTCTTTATAATCACTGCATCAGAGGGATTCATATCTCAGTACCTCAAACTGCAAAAGGTCATCAACATCTGAGAGACAGCTCTTCTAAACAGACCATCTACAAAGCCTTAGAAAATCTTGTTGAGGCTTAATAACTAATTTATGTAAGATATACACAGCCAGTGGCCCCAGCTGTCAACTATTCTAGGTGATCATGTCATGTAATAATCTTTCTTATGCCACATACCCAGATGAGGTTCGACAGCATTCTACAAGTTACATAAACAAAACCCAAAGAAACCCAAACCATTCATTTTAGGCATATCCCTCCAGAAGCCACAGCAATTATCAAAGGATAAAATTAACCACAGAACTTTTACAGTTTCTTTGGTCTCAGAATCATGCATACCATGAAAGCCTGTAGAAATATCAATTGGTGTAACTAATTTGCCAGCTTATTAGCAATGCAGCCAGCAAGAGCACAGCACTGATTAAACCAGCTGAATTCTACTTCGTTTAACGATGCTACTAAGAAACAGCCACAGCACACAGTTCCCAGGCTGCGCTAACGACAGCAGAACACCACCACCTGAACACTCTGCTTTTTAAAATGGTTCCCACTAAAAACATGCAGGCAAATAAACTTAAAGTTGGTTTGCAGCAACCTAGAACAACCCAGCAGAAACCTGTTAGTAACTAACTCAAGCTCCCCTTTAGTATAATTCATCCTTTTCGTGAATTCATACACAGACTTTTCTTCTTTTTTGGTAGTAGTTTTTGGTTTGGTTTGGTTTTGTGGGTTGTTTTTTTTTTTCAGTTTGTTTTGTTTTTTAAAAAAGAATCAGTAAAGATGTATCTTTGCCAAACAGAGGACCTTAAAATGAACTCTCAATTACATTGCTTTTCATGTAAAATAAAGACCAATAATTGATTGGGACTTCCATGTTGTTCTCAGGAAATGAAAAACAAATTTTAGGAAAAAAAAATAATTAAGGCTTGGTCCACACCTCTCCAATTTTTCGCAATGAACTACAAAGCACAGACTTCTCTCTGAGTGTACATGCTGTGAGGATTTAAACCCATCCTTTCAGGCTTTCTGACAGCGCCTCCTCCAGAGCAGCCCAACACAGCAACACACACCAGTGTGAACCATACAGCCCCTCCACGGCCCTGCACCAGTGCGGCAGCCAGTGCCCGGCGTGGGCATGGCCCAGGCAGCCAGCCCTGGCAGCTGCGGGGAGCACAGACCCAGGGTCTCACATTCCATGCACCAACAAAAAAGGCATGCTGGATTTTTTGTGTCCAGCATAGTTTGAAAAGAAAAAAAATAACACAGGTGTATCTTAAAGCGTAAATTTATGAAATATTAATTCCTTTGCATTTCAAAGCTGTATTTAACTTCATCTTAAACTACACAATTTTTTTTGTTGGTAACTTCAAATCAGATACTCTGGGCAGTCTGTTGTGTGGCCACATGAGCCTACAAACACTGGCGCTAGAAAAAGGGAGCTGTCAGGTAACCAGGGAAACAGATCCTGGCAGCAGCATCAGTCTATACCTACCAAATCGACTGAGAAAACATGATTTATGCTTTAAGCTGCTGGAGCTACCTTACAGAAAACCTAAACAAGAGCTAAATTGAGACCTCAAGATTTGGATTAGTAACAGCAGTTGCAAATTGGTCAATTAAAAAAACGTATTTGGAGACACCTTGTATTTTGGAAGGGAAAACAAGACAACAAACTTCAGCCAAAGACTCCAGTAGCAAGTAAAAAGACCTGCTTCAACACATTCTGAGATACTCTGCCTTTGTCTGGCTATACAAGGATCAAATACTCACAACAGACAGCTGACTCCACGTTGATCTCAGGGGCTTATAGTGAAAAACAATCTTTTCATCCGATTTCTGCTCTCGAGGCTCAGACTCTTCATCAGAATCTATGTCCAGAGCTTTTTCTTTATAGTTCTGATATAATACAGCGTTTTCTATAAAATAACAAGACTATGTCATTAATTTCTAGAAAGTTAGCTTAGTGGCTTCCATAAAAATGACAAGTAACATTTAAACAATGAGAGAAACCAAAAGGTCTCTGCGCCGTTCACAAACTCCGTGAGACAAAGACAGGATCTCATTTAGGATGGACAATGGTGCAGTACAGTAACAATGGATCACTGTACCACTACCAAAAAGATCCACACTGACTGAATTAAAGAACAGATGTGTCCTTTGTCTAGAAAAAAAAACAGAAAACAATTTTTTCTTCCTTGGTTTGCAGTACAATGTTCCATAATCAGCTAGCAATCCAGAAATGGGACCAGCGTGTCAGTAGAGCAGAGTCACTCATCTGGAGGTCTGGCTATTTTAATCTACAAAACCATTATAAGCCCACTACCCACACCAACTTTCACTCCGCCAGCTTTAAATACTGTCTTCGCGCTTCACTAAGAGAAGGAAACAATCCAAATTTCAGAAATTTGAGGTCAGAGCTATTCCAAACAGAAACTTTAAAACTTGCTTGAGTAAGCATGAGGCCTATGAACCTTCAGACAAAATACTCATCATATATTCCAGTATTAATTCAGTAATATCCGTGGCAAAGAAACACAGGTGCGAAGCACACCCTTTCCACTTCCCAACCTCCTCCACCACACATCCTTTGCGAAAGTAGACACAAAAGGACAGAGAAATTCAAGACTAGAAAAACCAACAGACAGATTAAGTGTTAAGAAATCAAGCTCTAAAAGGTACTTTAGAGATAGGCCAGGCTTTGGATAACATCCCATCTTCCTCTGCAAGAGAAAGGGGAAGGTCTGGCTGCTCCACACACAGGTGCAACTCGTGAGGTCGTACCCCAGGCTGGGTGGATCTGTTTCACCTGCCCCAACCACAAACCCCTGGCTGAGCACTCTACCAGGTCTGGCCCTTTGAACTTGCTCTTTGGAATGTGTCTATAGTTTATGAACTTTTAAAACAGGTAATTGCATACCACACCAGAAATGAATTCTGAGGGGCACTACAGAGAAAGTTATTAGTGGGGATCAGTCCAAGATAAGAGGGAGCCATTGGAAGAGAATTTAGAAAGCCTCATTAGGAGATAGTGTGAGAAAAGATGAAAATAAGAGTAAGACAGGGTGATGCAAATAGAGCAAAGTGCAAAGTTCTAAAAATAGAAACAAGAGGAAAAGGAAGGTAACACAGCCACCAAGATGATCTTAAGGAAGCACTAAGCAGAGAAAAGCCAAGAGAGTAGCAGTTCCATGGACTCGCAGTCAGGAAATAATCTTTTTCCTGTTGAAACACTGGGACAAGCAGCAAACTCGGCAAAGCCCAGAACTAACGAGTAACATAAAAGAGCAGATACGTGGACAGTGTTTTTCTGACACTTTAACTTGAAGACTAGGTAGCAGGAAAAGGAAAGAATCACAAAGTCAAGGAATTCACCCCAGCACCCTTGGCTTACGAGGAAAGGAGAGAAACAGCTGCATGAACCATAAACTCAGAGACTAACAGCTCAGGTGCCTGCTGCAAGTGAGGACCCCAAACCCACCAGCTGACCCCTGAAAGCTGCGTCTTGCACCTGAGAAGGGCCACAGGACAGACAGGAAGGCCAGCCCAGCAGGAGGAACAGGCCTCCTCTGGGTAACTCTACAGAACTGTTATGGCTGAGACAGACACATCCACCAGTTCATCTTTTAGGGGAGACAGCAGTTCAAATCGAAAATAAGCCCTTCCACTAAAACTTCTTTTCAGCCTGCCATTCTATATTCTTTAAAACAGTCCCTAAAGTATGTCTAGTGCCAAAATGATGGTTCTGTATTTTAGTCAGTTTACTGAAAAACGAGGTACTTAGTCTTTGACTACGTAAAAAATAAGTGTGCAAAAAGATCCTGAAGTCATTTTCTCTTGTGACTGAGCGTATTACCAAGTCTGTACAGAAAAGAGCTTACCTTCCCCATCAAACGTCCCTTGTCCTTTCAGCATCTTCTTCTGATAATTTTGACAGGAAAGAGAGAGATATACACATTAAAAAACGAACACAAAATAACCAACACTAACAAGAACTTCGGTTTTATTTGATACTTAGGCACTCAATTAAAGGGCCCTACTCTCTAAACGTCTGATGTTGGACAAGTATTCATGAAAACAATTGCTTCATCAGAGAAAGTGAAAAGCTATTCTAGTTTTCCCTCTTTCATGCACTGTTTATACATATTTATTCCCAATGCTTCGTTTTTTCCTGTCTTTCAAAACCAAAGCGTACTAACTTTCCAAGAGTTGAGGGAACTTGTAACTCATCCCACTGGCACTGGGCTTTCCTACCAGGATACGAGGCACGCGGCGGAGCTTTCCACACACTGCAAACAACCACCACGTTAAGTATGTTGTAAACCAACGTCTTGAGACCAAAACAAACCTTTGAAATAAAGGAGCTGGTTTAGTGCAACAAGTGCTATGGTCTAAGAAGTCTATTTAAAAAAAACCCAACACACCAGCAAAGAGAGTTTTGTGTGTAAAGGCAGGAAAATGTCACGTCCTCCTGTTTTAAACTGTTTAAACTTACTGTTAAAGTCTACTACCAAAACAAACCACCTCCCTACTCAGTACAAGTTCACAACTTCATCTATCACTACTTCACCACTTGTAGCACTTTCACCGAAGCTTTCATAACCAGAATTTTTAACTTGTCTGAAAATTGTCATAAAGCTGAAAATTATTTTCACAGCTACGGCATCAGCCCTTAGCCTGGAGTGCTTAATTGCAATTCCAAACACTCTGCAGAAATCTACTAATGTATTTTTTTAAAAGTAACAAATTATATTTTAAAAAAAGGAAATACAAGATTACAATATGATATGTTCAAGTAAAAGAGTATTTTCAGTAAGTCTTTATAATTTAATTTTAATATATTAACATTCAATATAAACCTACTACTCCTAAGGGATTACAAAGAACTAAAAACAGGCATTCTGCTTTTATTTACAGGCATTAAAATTAAGCTACAAAAATCATACCTGAAGTGGTCTCTACCAATTTAAGAATCACACTCTGATTTTCAAAAACACTTCAAAAGTAACATCTCAGACTAAGCAGTAGGGAGGAAGTTTATTTTTCTGTCAGTCTATTTACTCTAGCAGGCAGACTTTATTAAGGCAATGTCCCTTTTCTTTTTTCCTGTTTACTACTCTCTGGGAAACGAGTTTTAAAGTTGGATTGTGAAAGAAAACCTCGAAGTGCCGGGGAATCCGTCAGGAATGCAGGCACGAGGCTGCCCAGATTTCCACAGAAACACATCCCTGAAGCCTCCGCCACTTCACTTCGGAAACACCACTGTAAGCGATCTGTGAGACTCATCAATAACTACGAAAAGTCTTGTGGCAGGCAAAAGGAAACGGAAAAAATCCCAGCCTTTATAGAAAACCGAGAGACCGCAAATCACGCTCCCGCGTAGCCTCAACCACTCCAAGTGTCCCCGACCAGCACAACTCACCTTTATCCTCCCCAGGCTCGAAAACTTCTCTTTATCTTCAACAACTGCTTTAAGTATGGGCTGGGACATTCTGTTTTTTTTCTTAAAATCCGAAGAGCCGTCGAAGTCCACCCCGCTCACCACGGCTCTGCGGTAGGACGTGGACCTCAGGCCTCGCCTCAGGGACCCCGGGCTGTCCAGGTCGCCCCCGGCCTCCTCCTC